GAGGATTTTGTAGAGGAAGAGTGAAGGGAGTTGCCAGAAGTAAAAAGAGAGGAGGGATAGAGTGATAGGATCCTGGACCAGCACAACAGTATGCAGACAACAACCAAATCCCAGGCCCAACAACCTCCAAATCTGATCACTGAAGGCAGCAGCTCAGGAAGAGTATCCCGTGTAGTCCAGCCCATCAAGTTCGTCTACACCAGGAGGTCACATCAACATAACTAACTTGATAGTCCCATTTGCATGGAGGCAGCTTGACAGTAGCCTGTTTTGATTCAATATAAATAGCATGAGGAACCCTACGAGTGCATGGAAAATATCTTAATCACTATTCCGCTTCTTCCATTTCAGGAGGAAGAGCTCCCTCGAAGAAGCTCATTAGAAGTGTTCTTATCAGTAGGATGTAGAAATTGGAAATGAGACTGCTATCTTGGGATGCTAGGGGTCTAAGAGAAGGAAGAGTAAGGGTATTGGTGAGGAATGTGGTGAGGAAATTCAACCCAGATGTGGTGTTGCTGCAAGACACAAAGATGGAAACATTTGATTTAGGACTGAAAAATGAAATCTAGGGTCAAGAACTTAGTGAGAAGAAGAGGAATCAGTCATCCATCTTTTCATTTCTTGTGAAATTTCTGGTTTCTTTTGGAAACTCTTCACAATACTATTTGGGGTCAGGAACTTTCAGCCAAGGCCTCCTGTAGAGATTTTTTCTATATGGCCATGGCTTAAGAGGTTGTAAGATGGCCATGGTAATTTGGAGCTGCTTACCATTTTCCATATTCTGGAATATTTGGAAGGAGAAAATTAGAAGACTTTTTGAAGATAGAGCATGGAATTTGGACAGACTGATGGCGGCTGTTGGCCAATCTGTCTCAGACTGGGTCTTGGTGATGCCTGAATTTGCACAAGTCAAGAAAGAAGATCTTTGAGACAGACTTTGGGAGGTGTTGGGATTACAAATTTGTACCTTGACGATTGGTTTTGATTTGTTTTTGTTTGCTCTTGATGTTGTTGAGTTGCTACTAGGTGTTGCCTTAACACCTATCAAGCTTGTAATTTTCTTTTTCCTTTTAATGAAAAAAAAAAACAGCCTAAACCATGGGCCAAGTGTTGGTACAATACCACTTACCACATTTCTACTGGTTTTACACCCTTTACAATGTTTTACGGTAGGGGGAACCACCAACTATACTACCATATGAGAAAGGATCTTCTACTATTGTTGAAGTAGTCACCCAACCATCCAATCGGGATGCCATCTTGAAGCTACTCAAAGAGCACCAGCACCAGGCCCAGCAAAGAGTGAAATTGATATATGATAAAAAACGCAAAGACGTTGAATATGAAATTGGGGACAATGTGTATCTGAAACTAATTCCCTTGCCGACAATCTTCCTTGGCCCAAAGAGTTTGGTAGAAACTAGCATCTCAGTATTTTGGTCCATTCCAGGTTATTGAGAAGATTGGCCAAGTGGCCTACAAACCGAACCTTCCCCCTTCTTTGAGAGTGCACTCTGTGTCTCTCTTAACGCCATGCACTGCATAAGCCACTGCATCCATTCCCACTCTTTCTTAGTTTTCTGGTGATGAACTATTGGTAGAACCAATGTTTTAAAAACCAACCCGGAGGTCGAACCGCTTTTGCCTCTAGGTCGTAGGTCACCGGTTCGACCGACTGGGTCGAATGGTTCATACCGTGCCACGTTAGTGTATATATATATTTATTTATTTATATACACACATATATATGTGTATAAATATATATTTTAGCAATAAATAATGTATAAATATGCTTTAGATATGTTATATGTATTATTTTACATTTAATATATGTTTTTTAATTCAGTTTTTAATTTTTTTATTTATAAAAAAATATTAGAAATTGCAATTTGAGGCCAAAAAAGGGATTTTTTTTGCGAAAATAGAGAGGCAAGGTGCCTAAGGCCTTGGGACGCATAGATCTCGAAAAGTTACCAAAATCAAGAAAAAATCACACCAATCAGACATCGGAGTGCAAAGTTATGGCCAACGAAAGTTTGTATGTATTCAATGTGCAAGCCGCGACCTGGTCACCGGGTTGAATGGGTCAATGGTCGAATTGGCTGGGTCGAACGATTCTTGACCAAGTCAATGGTTTTGGCCATCTGACAGTTCTTAATTGAACTGGACCTAGAATCCTGGCTGGGTGATGGTTTGAACGGTTTGACTGGCCAAGTCAACGGTGGGTTGAAAACATTGGGTAGAACCCCTACACGTAACAGATACGAGGTGGATCAAGAGTGGCCAACAAACAGTCAAACAAACCTTGGTTGTGGGGACTAACCTTCCTCCAAATGATGCTACATGGGAGGACTTCTCCAAGCTCTAGCAACAGTTTCCCCACATCAACCTTGAGGACAAGGTTGTTCTTAAGGGGGAGGGAACTATTAAGAACCAGGCCCTGGCCCATGCCTCGGCTAGCCCATTGACAACAGCCTAGGTCCATGGGTCATTCAGCTTAGGCACGCCATCAACCACTCCAGGCAAGGAAGTGCATACTATTCCTCCCATCAAGTTCATGTACTCCGAAAGGCTATCTCAGCAAATTTAGTTACTGAAGAATATTCTCATTGTAACCAAACATAAATAGCCAATAGAGCAACCATGAGGAGAGCAGAGTATTCCAATTGAATTATCCTCTTACCTCTTTCCTCTTTATTTCTTCTTCTTCTTCTTCCTCCATGTTATTTCCATTTTAGGAGGAATATTTGCCTAAAAGTAGCTCATTTACACCGTTCCTTATCAGGTTGGTAGGTTGGAAAGGGAAGTACTTATCATTAGGGGGAAGAATTGTATTAATTAAAAGTGTGTTATGGAAGTTGCCATTATATTATTTATCTTTGCTCAAAATTCCTTCATTAGTGGTAAATTTAATTGAGAAGATGCAAAAAGAGTTTCTTTGGGGGTATTAAAGGGGTTGAAAAGAAGTACCGTCTGGTGAAATGGAATTGGGTTTGTAGGGATAAAAAGGAAGAAGGCTTGGTAATAAGAAGAGTTAAGTTATTTAATAAGGCGCTTTTTGGGGAAGTAGTTATGGAGGTTTGGGATTGAAAGGGATGCTTTGTGGAGAAGGGTAGTGGCTTGTAAATATGGTGTGGTGGGTTTGGCTGGAATAGTAGGGAGGTGAAATCTTCTTATGGAGTATGTGTTCGGAAAGGAATAATGAGCTTTCAGTCAGCTTTTCTTGATTGTGTTTCCTTCAAGGCTATGGTTTGGCTATAAAATTTAGAAGACCACTTTTGGGTTGGGAGTTTGGGAATGTGGAGTTGCTCTCAGAATTACAATCGACTGAGGTGCAAGTGGATATAAGGGATCTAAGATGGTGGAAGGAATCCAATAATGGCATTTTTCTGTTAAATCATTTTACAAAGCCTTACTAAGGAATCAAGTGGAAAGATTGGAAGTGAAAGGAGTTTGGTGGAAGCATTTGCTTGGTTAGTGGCTTTACTTATGTGAGGTTGCTGAGGAGAATGTGCTACGTCTATGTTTTGGTTGTCCCTTCTTGAAATTCATTTGGTTTTTTCTTTGGTCTTTTCAAAGTTAATATGGTGGAACCAAGGACCTTGGTGGACATTTTTGCTTGTAGGCCTACAATGAGAGGAAATATCAATGCAAAGATAACTTGGAGTTATATACCTTTTGTCATTTGTTGGCAAGTGTGGAAAGAAAGAAATAGAAGGATTTTTGAAGACAAGGATTGAGGAGGAGATCTCTTGAATGGGACTACTTGTGGTGGGTATGATTCCCTTGAATGGGATTACTTGTGGTGGGTCCTAAAGTCCCTAGGTTTCTTTGAGGACTGGTGTCAGATGATTCAATTTTGTGTCTCCACTGCCAAAATTTTCCATCCTTGTTAATGGTACTCCTGAGGGCCGATTTGAATCCATGTGTGGTCTTCAACAAGGGAATTCCATCTCTCTTTATTTGTTTGTCTTAGCCATGGAGGGGCTATCTAGGATGACTGGGAAACTAAATGAGGAGAACAAATTGAAGGGAATTACTATGGCCAGAGGAACTCCAGCTATTTTACATCTCCTCTTTGTGGATGATGTCCTTTTGTTTGGTAAAGCAAACCAGGAGGAGGCTGCTGATTTCAAAGACTTGCTGGAAGCATTTCAAAAACTCTCAAGTTTAAGAATCAACTTCCAAAAGTCAGGTTTCTACTTTAATAAAAAGAACCCTCATAAAGGAGCCTAGACGATTAGAAGGCAACTGAAAATGTCCCAAGAGGAGGGACAGGTGTGGGAAATCATTGAAAGAGTGGACAAGTGTGGGAAATCATTGAAAGAGTGTTTAAGGATGTGGAAGGGCAGCTGATATGGAGGAGGGAAGGGGAGGAAGGAAGAGAGGAGGGNTTCAATACCAGAACAAGGATAATAGGAACTAAATAAATTAGAGCAGCTTGTCATATGATCGGAGGCCCCTGAATCTATGATCCAAGGACTGGATTTTCCTAGAATTGAGAGTGCCAGAGAATTGCTACCTGTTTGTGCCATAGACCCGACAGGAGTATTAGGTGACGAATAGGATTTTAGTAGTTTAAGAAGGTGATCTATTTGCTCTTTACTAAATGGAGATGATTCAGCCTTGTTTGCTGTAGGTATATTCTATTCACCGGGTTTGTTCGCCCTGCCATTGGATGGTCTCCCGTGCAGTTTGTAGCCATTCTCTCGGGTATGGCGAGGTTTCCCACAGTAATCACAGCGCAGGTTATTCTTGTCTCCAACCCGCTGATTTTGGGATGACCTTTGACTGACTTGGGCCTCGAAAATAATCAGGGCTGACCCTTCCACAGGTCCGGTTGTACCTGCAACCTTCTTTCCAAGCATCACTTGTCTCCGACTTTCTTCTCTACGTACTTCTGCAAATACCTCACCGATTGGGGGCATAGGGTTTCTTCCAATAATTCGTCCATGAACCTCATCGAATTCAACGTTTAATCTTGCAAGAAACTTGATGACTCAGCCAACATTCACCATCTTCTTGTAATAATTGTAGTCATCGGGTGACTTCCACTTGTAATCGTTGAATAAGTCCAGGTCCTGCCAAATTCTCTTAAGAGATTTAAAATACTTAGTCACAGAGTTCTCACCTTGGCGAATATCTCCGAGTTGTAGAGTTAACTCGTAGTACATCTGTGAGACATTGTCCCATAATTCCTTGGCTGTAGAATAGCAGAGATAATTTGCTCCTATCTCTTCAGTCATGGAGTTAACCAACCACGTCATCACCATGGAATTTTCAGCATCCCAAACAGCATAGGCTGGATCCTTCACATCAGGCTTCTTCGTGTCTCCTGTGATATAGCCAATTTTCCCTCTCCCTCTGAGATACATGTGAACAAATTGTGACCACCGGAGAAAGTTGTCACCATTTAGTCGGATTGTAGTGATCTGAATAGGGTGATTTTCAGGCAGATTCTGGACAATCTGGGGCTCAAGCTGAGAAGGCTGAGGAGTCTGATAACTTGACGTGACTTTGGACATTTTTTAGGGACAGAAACGCAGAAACAAACCCTAGGTCTTTTCTGCTCTGATACCATAAAGAAGAGACAGAAAGATAATAAGAATGGGATTATCTTTTATGATTCTGTACATCAAAATTTATACCTCTCTCTAGGATACAAACTAGGTAACAAATCTCCCTAAATAAGGAAAAATAAAACTGATTTCTAAAAATATTTGTACAGCTCACAAACCTCTCAACTATCTAAAATAGCACATAATCAAATATAATACATAATTACCAAAATCTTCCAACAAGAACATAACAAGAAAAAAATTGTAGGGGAGGGGGGTAAGCTGTGGGAGGAAGGATAAGGGTGGGAGGAGGATTTTGTAGAGGAAGAGTGAAGGGAGTTGCCAGAAGTAAAAAGAGAGGAGGGATAGAGTGATAGGATCCTGGACCAGCACAACAGTATGCAGACAACAACCAAATCCCAGGCCCAACAACCTCCAAATCTGATCACTGAAGGCAGCAGCTCAGGAAGAGTATCCCGTGTAGTCCAGCCCATCAAGTTCGTCTACACCAGGAGGTCACATCAACATAACTAACTTGATAGTCCCATTTGCATGGAGGCAGCTTGACAGTAGCCTGTTTTGATTCAATATAAATAGCATGAGGAACCCTACGAGTGCATGGAAAATATCTTAATCACTATTCCGCTTCTTCCATTTCAGGAGGAAGAGCTCCCTCGAAGAAGCTCATTAGAAGTGTTCTTATCAGTAGGATGTAGAAATTGGAAATGAGACTGCTATCTTGGGATGCTAGGGGTCTAAGAGAAGGAAGAGTAAGGGTATTGGTGAGGAATGTGGTGAGGAAATTCAACCCAGATGTGGTGTTGCTGCAAGACACAAAGATGGAAACATTTGATTTAGGACTGAAAAATGAAATCTAGGGTCAAGAACTTAGTGAGAAGAAGAGGAATCAGTCATCCATCTTTTCATTTCTTGTGAAATTTCTGGTTTCTTTTGGAAACTCTTCACAATACTATTTGGGGTCAGGAACTTTCAGCCAAGGCCTCCTGTAGAGATTTTTTCTATATGGCCATGGCTTAAGAGGTTGTAAGATGGCCATGGTAATTTGGAGCTGCTTACCATTTTCCATATTCTGGAATATTTGGAAGGAGAAAATTAGAAGACTTTTTGAAGATAGAGCATGGAATTTGGACAGACTGATGGCGGCTGTTGGCCAATCTGTCTCAGACTGGGTCTTGGTGATGCCTGAATTTGCACAAGTCAAGAAAGAAGATCTTTGAGACAGACTTTGGGAGGTGTTGGGATTACAAATTTGTACCTTGACGATTGGTTTTGATTTGTTTTTGTTTGCTCTTGATGTTGTTGAGTTGCTACTAGGTGTTGCCTTAACACCTATCAAGCTTGTAATTTTCTTTTTCCTTTTAATGAAAAAAAAAAACAGCCTAAACCATGGGCCAAGTGTTGGTACAATACCACTTACCACATTTCTACTGGTTTTACACCCTTTACAATGTTTTACGGTAGGGGGAACCACCAACTATACTACCATATGAGAAAGGATCTTCTACTATTGTTGAAGTAGTCACCCAACCATCCAATCGGGATGCCATCTTGAAGCTACTCAAAGAGCACCAGCACCAGGCCCAGCAAAGAGTGAAATTGATATATGATAAAAAACGCAAAGACGTTGAATATGAAATTGGGGACAATGTGTATCTGAAACTAATTCCCTTGCCGACAATCTTCCTTGGCCCAAAGAGTTTGGTAGAAACTAGCATCTCAGTATTTTGGTCCATTCCAGGTTATTGAGAAGATTGGCCAAGTGGCCTACAAACCGAACCTTCCCCCTTCTTTGAGAGTGCACTCTGTGTCTCTCTTAACGCCATGCACTGCATAAGCCACTGCATCCATTCCCACTCTTTCTTAGTTTTCTGGTGATGAACTATTGGTAGAACCAATGTTTTAAAAACCAACCCGGAGGTCGAACCGCTTTTGCCTCTAGGTCGTAGGTCACCGGTTCGACCGACTGGGTCGAATGGTTCATACCGTGCCACGTTAGTGTATATATATATTTATTTATTTATATACACACATATATATGTGTATAAATATATATTTTAGCAATAAATAATGTATAAATATGCTTTAGATATGTTATATGTATTATTTTACATTTAATATATGTTTTTTAATTCAGTTTTTAATTTTTTTATTTATAAAAAAATATTAGAAATTGCAATTTGAGGCCAAAAAAGGGATTTTTTTTGCGAAAATAGAGAGGCAAGGTGCCTAAGGCCTTGGGACGCATAGATCTCGAAAAGTTACCAAAATCAAGAAAAAATCACACCAATCAGACATCGGAGTGCAAAGTTATGGCCAACGAAAGTTTGTATGTATTCAATGTGCAAGCCGCGACCTGGTCACCGGGTTGAATGGGTCAATGGTCGAATTGGCTGGGTCGAACGATTCTTGACCAAGTCAATGGTTTTGGCCATCTGACAGTTCTTAATTGAACTGGACCTAGAATCCTGGCTGGGTGATGGTTTGAACGGTTTGACTGGCCAAGTCAACGGTGGGTTGAAAACATTGGGTAGAACCCCTACACGTAACAGATACGAGGTGGATCAAGAGTGGCCAACAAACAGTCAAACAAACCTTGGTTGTGGGGACTAACCTTCCTCCAAATGATGCTACATGGGAGGACTTCTCCAAGCTCTAGCAACAGTTTCCCCACATCAACCTTGAGGACAAGGTTGTTCTTAAGGGGGAGGGAACTATTAAGAACCAGGCCCTGGCCCATGCCTCGGCTAGCCCATTGACAACAGCCTAGGTCCATGGGTCATTCAGCTTAGGCACGCCATCAACCACTCCAGGCAAGGAAGTGCATACTATTCCTCCCATCAAGTTCATGTACTCCGAAAGGCTATCTCAGCAAATTTAGTTACTGAAGAATATTCTCATTGTAACCAAACATAAATAGCCAATAGAGCAACCATGAGGAGAGCAGAGTATTCCAATTGAATTATCCTCTTACCTCTTTCCTCTTTATTTCTTCTTCTTCTTCTTCCTCCATGTTATTTCCATTTTAGGAGGAATATTTGCCTAAAAGTAGCTCATTTACACCGTTCCTTATCAGGTTGGTAGGTTGGAAAGGGAAGTACTTATCATTAGGGGGAAGAATTGTATTAATTAAAAGTGTGTTATGGAAGTTGCCATTATATTATTTATCTTTGCTCAAAATTCCTTCATTAGTGGTAAATTTAATTGAGAAGATGCAAAAAGAGTTTCTTTGGGGGTATTAAAGGGGTTGAAAAGAAGTACCGTCTGGTGAAATGGAATTGGGTTTGTAGGGATAAAAAGGAAGAAGGCTTGGTAATAAGAAGAGTTAAGTTATTTAATAAGGCGCTTTTTGGGGAAGTAGTTATGGAGGTTTGGGATTGAAAGGGATGCTTTGTGGAGAAGGGTAGTGGCTTGTAAATATGGTGTGGTGGGTTTGGCTGGAATAGTAGGGAGGTGAAATCTTCTTATGGAGTATGTGTTCGGAAAGGAATAATGAGCTTTCAGTCAGCTTTTCTTGATTGTGTTTCCTTCAAGGCTATGGTTTGGCTATAAAATTTAGAAGACCACTTTTGGGTTGGGAGTTTGGGAATGTGGAGTTGCTCTCAGAATTACAATCGACTGAGGTGCAAGTGGATATAAGGGATCTAAGATGGTGGAAGGAATCCAATAATGGCATTTTTCTGTTAAATCATTTTACAAAGCCTTACTAAGGAATCAAGTGGAAAGATTGGAAGTGAAAGGAGTTTGGTGGAAGCATTTGCTTGGTTAGTGGCTTTACTTATGTGAGGTTGCTGAGGAGAATGTGCTACGTCTATGTTTTGGTTGTCCCTTCTTGAAATTCATTTGGTTTTTTCTTTGGTCTTTTCAAAGTTAATATGGTGGAACCAAGGACCTTGGTGGACATTTTTGCTTGTAGGCCTACAATGAGAGGAAATATCAATGCAAAGATAACTTGGAGTTATATACCTTTTGTCATTTGTTGGCAAGTGTGGAAAGAAAGAAATAGAAGGATTTTTGAAGACAAGGATTGAGGAGGAGATCTCTTGAATGGGACTACTTGTGGTGGGTATGATTCCCTTGAATGGGATTACTTGTGGTGGGTCCTAAAGTCCCTAGGTTTCTTTGAGGACTGGTGTCAGATGATTCAATTTTGTGTCTCCACTGCCAAAATTTTCCATCCTTGTTAATGGTACTCCTGAGGGCCGATTTGAATCCATGTGTGGTCTTCAACAAGGGAATTCCATCTCTCTTTATTTGTTTGTCTTAGCCATGGAGGGGCTATCTAGGATGACTGGGAAACTAAATGAGGAGAACAAATTGAAGGGAATTACTATGGCCAGAGGAACTCCAGCTATTTTACATCTCCTCTTTGTGGATGATGTCCTTTTGTTTGGTAAAGCAAACCAGGAGGAGGCTGCTGATTTCAAAGACTTGCTGGAAGCATTTCAAAAACTCTCAAGTTTAAGAATCAACTTCCAAAAGTCAGGTTTCTACTTTAATAAAAAGAACCCTCATAAAGGAGCCTAGACGATTAGAAGGCAACTGAAAATGTCCCAAGAGGAGGGACAGGTGTGGGAAATCATTGAAAGAGTGGACAAGTGTGGGAAATCATTGAAAGAGTGTTTAAGGATGTGGAAGGGCAGCTGATATGGAGGAGGGAAGGGGAGGAAGGAAGAGAGGAGGGA